CAGTTGTTGTGCTCACCAAAACGAAAGTAAAAGAGGGGACGGTTTGCTGCTGTGCTGTGCGGTGCTGAGCGCTCTCTAGCTGCTGCTTCCCGGATGTCACAGACCCCAATGTTGCTAGTGCGGTGCATCCTTCTTGCTGGCCCTTCACTGTGCTGTAGTCTACACCGTACCGCAGCAGCTCCATTCGCCGCTGTAACAATTTGAAAAAAACTAATTAAATCATGTTTAGTTTTTTTACATTTGTTACAGCCACGAATGGAGTTTCAGCCCCCATGCAGTCGAAGTATGTACAAACACAAGTCCCAAAGCAGGGGTACCTGCACATATACATACATCCACCCCACCCCCAAACATACAAACACATATACAAACATTGTAAAACAGAGCCACATAATCAATTTCCCACTAAGCCAACATTGGTGTTTGTAATGTCAACAAAGCAGCAGCCAGAAGACTGGATGTTGAAATAGTCAAGAGTTGCCTTTTGGTTTACAGCCAATATTACCCAGTATTTTGGGTCTGTTTACTCAAAGCGTAAAGGCACCTTATCCAAAGTATTACATGCAGAATTAAATTGTTTTGGTTTAAAGATGTAAAACACCAAACTTTCCCAACAATTGACACTGTATTTTCCAATAGATCATAGCAAATAGTGATTGAAGTGCAACTAATGGCACTTTAAAACAACATCTTCCCCAAAATGGGCAGGGCAACTTCCTTTGGAAGAATCTAGAAGCAAGCAAGTTTCATCAGAAGAAAACACCAATTTTGTCTGGAAAGTGCTGAAGACAGAAATATAGGAACAAAGACTATGACAAATACATAATCTCCTGGCTCTAGGAAGCAGTAGTGTGCAACTTTAGCAGCTGCTCATTCTGTTGGCATAACAAAATGAGAGAACCGCATAGGGGCATCTCCTAACATATTTTTCTCAACCAACTTTGTTTTAGCAGAAATAACTAATGCAGGACAAATTCCATAAATCTGGTAGGGGATCTTAGAAACTCTACTGAATGTGTTAGCAGATACTGAGCTTAGTATTCTAGCAATCACATCTTTTTAAAGAGTAAGAATGCTAGAAAACTACAAATGTTGGAGAGTTTATCTGCTGGATTTCTGATATCTGAGAAATCAAGTTTTTTTATCCTTCTATTTCAGATTGGAAAAAGCGTTTGTATGAACTGCCTCTCAAAAAAAGCAAAACAAATTATGCAAAAATACTTGCTTTATTTGCATAATGGGACAGGTAAATTATATGGCATTTTCTTAGAGTAGGATTTTGAATTTCTTGGCAAACAAAATTATTTTTCTTAAAATAATGTAACAAAAATTTGGACTGTTTTAGCTAAAAAATTAGTTGCCAATAGATTGTTGGACTCCTCTGAACGACAGATTTTGACCTTTGTATATTCTGTTCATGGCTTAAATTCTAAAATGAGAAAACTAGGGCTCAAATAATTAAATGGTTTTATATATGGAGTGGCCTTTTCTAAGTTAATTTTCTGTGTGAATAATGGCGAAAAATGTCATATTATTTATACTTGGTTTGGAAGAATACTAAATTTGTGAAATCCCATTTGTGATCTTCCAGATTGCAGCCTGGAGACTATGTAAATGAAAGTGAAAGTTGTTTTAGAGCTTATTATTTGTCACTACATGATATGGAGATCAGACTGTAAATGCTTCATGAAGTTTCTCCATCAATTCTACTGGATGGAATTCAGCAATTGCAAGTGGCAATAATGCAACCATGAGATTCTGGGACAATCATAAATGCCCAGTAGTTGTAAAATGCCCAAATTTTGATCTCATAACTGTGGTGACGCTGCCACAGTCATAAATGCAAGGGCTTGTCATAAAGTTAGCTTTTCATTGCAGTCATAACTTTGAACAGCTGCTTGATAAGTGAGGACTACTTGTATATGCGGAGTTACAGTGGGGAAGATCCTGGCAGTAAAATTGCAAGTGGAGATCACTTGATCACAAACGACATCGTAAGTTTAGTAAAATCATGCAATGTTTTGCTTAATGACCACATTGCTTAGCAATGGAGTTTCCAGTCCCACCTGTGGTTGTTAAGACAGGACTATCTATAATATACACTGAGCCCAAAAAATATAAAGATAATTCAATGGACAATTCATATTATTATATTTATGTATGTGTAGATAATATGTCTGTTTGCACTGTGTATGCTTATACAGCAAACATGCATAGTTCTATTTTTTTCTAATCTATATGTATATTTTAAAGTTACTCTAGTGTAGCCTTCCCAATCTGCTGCTCTCTAGTTTACACACACACAAACACACACACACACACACACACACACACATATTCTTTTTAGGGAGTCATAATCTAAAAGTTAATTGGCCTTGAGGACTGGAAACATCAATGTAAATCTAAAATTTTAAATCCAAAACTAGTTTTGCAGACAGGAAATTCTGAGAATTAGATGAGCATCATCTACTTAAAACTATTGGCCAAGTCCCACAAAATGCCTTAGTCATCTGAGAGAAAAAGGATACAGCATCCCTCAGAAGGAGAGTTTTGATTCCAGACCCTCCTTTTCTAACCCTTGGTTTAGATGCTATGGTGTCACAGGTTCTGGGGAATGCGTACATTTCAAAACCCTTCTTAAATATTTAGAGAAGGCCTGGAATCAAATCCTGATACTGCCTTGTTTGGGAAAACTGAGTGAAACCTTTCAAGACTAATGGCAGAGTTCCTACAGCAATTAAATGCACAATATGAGTCCATGCAACCTTTTCGGACCCACATTTTGCTCCCCTCATCCCTATAGAGCTACTTGTTGATTATGGAAGCGTGACATTATGGAAGCGTGAAATTCCAGATTATATTATGCCCAAGCAAGACAGGATTTATAAGTAAACGACAAAACTCCTTTAAAGCCAGCTAATAATCCTGCTTGTCTGGATGCAATAAAACCTCATCCTGGATTCAGATGTCATGCAGTATTGAGCTAGTCTGACTCATTCACCTGCTGGCATGAGTGGGAGAATAAGAGGATAAAGCAGGAAGAAATAGGCCAATTAGCCTTGGCTTCTATGCATATGAAAATAAGCTATGTGTAGCTGTGCCTTGCTCCTCTTCTATAATACATATAGAGATTTATTTATATTATTGTAACTTTCTTTAAGTTATAAATGCATGGCTTATATAAAGTATTTTGCTCCATTACTGGGTTTTTTCTTTCTCTTATTAAGGGAGAAAGAAAGGGTTGAGACCAAACCTAATCAGATATCATTGATCAACTAATAGTATTCTGAACAGCTTTTATTTATGTGTATGTGTGTGTGTGTGTGTGTGTGGGAGCTACTAGACTCAGGAATCATAGAGGGAAGGGGAAGACACTCACAGAATCATAAAATCATAGGGCTAGAGGACCTTGGAAGTCTTCTAGCCCAAATTCCTGCCCAAGGGAGTTGGACTTGAATATACCTGTTATACTCTAAACAGCCTACAATTGCAAGCACAGAAAGAAACTGGCTAGCAGGCAACAAAGATGTAAATCCCTTTTAATACCTTGGGCTATTTTAAAAAAAAACATACAACATTTGATTTTTGAGAGTTGTCTGGTTGATCCATATCATAGATCCAAACAAAGAAATTTCACTGCATTATGAATGAAATAATCACCTATTTCTCACCACTTAATTTCTGATACTATTATGTGGACCACAAAGAAGTGGGCCAAGGTGAATGCTGTCAGTTGTCCCAAATACTGATATCTGAGATAGCCTTGTCTAATTGGACACGTTCCAGATGAATTTTAAATACATCTTCCAAGATTCCTCAGCCATGCTAAGCAGCTGGGCAGTTTTGGAAGAAGCAGATCCAACAGATTAAGGAGGAATAATTAGAGCACAGTTGGTCTGAGATGTACTGTCTCTAGAAACTGGAAGGACATGGGTTTCAGGAGTTTCATTCCTATCTGTAAGATCACCACCAGAGAAAGGCAATGGGAAATTTCTCTTTGGTTCCAGGATGCTTAAATGTCATCCACTGAGGAGTTCTAGGCTTTCTCTTGTTCTGTTCAATATTTGGACTGCAGTGTCTACAGAATGGATTTGTCAATCTATCTCTCCTTTCTCATTTTCTCCAAAATCTGCAGATATTCCTTAGTAGGTAATGATGGATTAAGTGGGGTCAATTAACTGGAGTAGGGTCCACTTAAGACAGAGATATTGTGGACAGATGTTTTTCAGGCCAGTAATTCTGAAGGTTGCTTGTCATGAATGAGGTAGCATTTCTTCCAGTTCTTCCGTTCCAAATTTTACATTTTGGACACATTCTATAAACATAGTCTGCTCACCATGTCTACTTCTGGAAATATCCATTTCTTTAGGAAAGTATCTTTGAGGAAGATGGGCAGTTTAGAAATATGAAATATAAATAAATAAAATCTTGTTGATTTTAAATTTGAAATAATTAAAATATGGTCAGATATTATTTAATTCCATAATTTTAGTTGAAAATAGTTATACTTTTCAACAATCATCTCGCTCCATTTACCATGTGATTCCTATTGCTGCGTGATGGTAGCGTGGTTAGAATGCAGTATAGCACACTAACTCTGCCTACTGCTAGGAGTTAGAGCCTGACAGTTGACTCAGCCTTCCATCCTTCTGAGACTAGTAAACTGAGCACCCAGATTATTGGGGGCAATATGCGGACATTTGTAAATGGTTCAGAGAGTGCTGTAAAGAATTATGAAGCAGTATATAAGCCTAAGTGCTAGTGCTATGAATCTGGGATGGGAATGAGAAGAGGTGCATACCTGTGCCATATATTTAAACAAGGAGACGAACATTTGTCCACAAGGACTAGCTAGTGGGAGGAACTGACACACATTACACAATAGTGACAGATTCTTTTGTGCCTCCAGATAATAAACTCTTTATAATGCACATTAACAGATTGTTGTAATGATTAATACACATGACAATTCCATGCACTACTTCTAAACTTCTACATACCTGGAGGTTGTGGCAAGTAGGCCCCAATTAATTTTGATCTCTTCTTTTCATAACCCTTCTGTGTAATGTCACCTGCCAAAGAAAGCAAAGAAAATCAAGACCAGTTTTAATGAAGAAAAAACTCATTCACTCAAGTCAAGGTAGTAACTGCTTTCCCACTGCGCCATTGTTTGTTTCGATGATCATAATGAATAAATGGTTGAATATATATTATTTCCATTCTGCCTCGAAAAGATAATTTATGCTAGAACCATTTTTGGCAACTAAATTCACAGTGTAGTTTTCTGCCGATCGTGAAAGTCCAAGATTCAGAGGGCTGTATTGTCATTGCGATATTCTGTCTTATAAAAATACAGCAGCTTTCATTATGATAATCAACAGTGGATTATATAGGATATTTGAGCTGGTAATGGCTGGCAAAGGACATTGCCAATTAGCATTTTCCACCCCTATTAATGGGATTCTTTAATCAAGCATGAAGGATGCACAAAAGATTTGGAACTGTTGGTACACCATTGAAATAATAGTATTGTATAAACATTTGGCTAAGCTTTTAAGAGCTACTTGAAGTCAAAAATGCAAAGCATCAGTTGCATCAAACTTCTCAAGTCCAGGCTATAAAAAGATACTATTTCTATCCCTTCAGCCATACAGTTGAGAAGATTTTTTTTGACAGACCAAATAGTATGTCCTGAGATGCACCAAAAGCAAAAATGAAGACAGGAGCATTAATTGACTGGTTTTGCTAGTGAATTGCAAAGCTTTGCATGGTTTTATTCTATTCTCCAAATGCCGATCTTGAGCTGTCTGAAAATCTAGGAAGCTCCAGTCCCAGAGCCTCAAGAGGATGACAAATTTATTTATAAAATGGTGGGGCAATAGGATAGGTCATTCATTCTGAATAAATATAAGTGGCTTTCCTCAACTGTGTATTCCAGTAATTTCCATTTAGTGGCAAGCTACTTCAAAACTTTAAAATACTATTTTATTACTTTCATTTCTTGATTATTTGGATTTATCAGTTGCTTCAACTGCTCTAAGCAGAGTATTCAGCACATCCATAACAAGAGTGAATACAGTCCATACAGTTAATCCTTGATTTATGACTGATCCTTTAGTGACTGTTTGAAGTTATGACAGATTTCCCAAAAGCTACTTATGTGATTATGATTTTCAATGCTAATTTCTGGTGTTTACTTCTGGTTTCCAGCAAAAACAACCAGTGAGTAAAATGTAGCCTCTTAATGACCACTGCATTCACTTAATGGCCAGCACATAAAATGTCATAAAATTGGTTCTGGTCCTATGGCATCTACTTAACGACTGCAACAACAATTTTATCCAGAATTACAGTTGTAGGCCGAGGACTACCTGTATCTTAATTCAGGAGTTAATAACCATTAATCCAAGTGCATCAAGAAAACTCTAGGCATAAACAATCAGAAAAGACAGGGAGAACATTTACATCAGTCCCTAAAAGCTTCTTAGGAGAAAAAAAACTTGATCTCCCTAAAACCCTTGGAGCTCTTCTAATTCCAAGGGGAAGGAAGAAGACAGGATACTGTTATGTAGACATGGGATAGCACAGAGAAGGACCACCATTATGGCTACTAACAGTTTTTCAATTTGCAAATGGCTATAGTAGTTAGTAAATTTAGATGAAGGTGAACTTCAAAAAGAATGCAAATGACCAGCTGTCTGCAAGGAATATAAATCCTTCCATTCCCTGCTATCCAGTCAGAGCTGAAGAAGCTTCTTGGATAAGAAGTGAAACGTCTTTAAAAAATAACAAGAAACTCCAGTTGCCTCTTGAAAAAGCACCTTTGGGACAACCATGACCTAGATGATTGAGAATCTCCATTGACCTTCATCTATGACCCCACCATTTTGATTTTTTTTACTCCATACTCTGTGGATCTTCTTTCTAGACTCAGCAAGTTACACCATCCTTTGTACATCTACTTGAAAAGCCTCAACGCATCTGCATAGAAGACTGAAGACTTTTACTTGGATAAAACAGCGAAACTTTTTGAATCAACAAGAAAAAGAAGTAGAGCTGCCATGACTCAACCTCCAGTCAATTTATCTGCATAGGTTCCTCTGACATATAAAATAATAATAATTTCTAAATAAGTATTCTGCACTAAAAGTCCTGTGACATTTTGAAGACAAACAAATCTACATAAATTAAGTCATATTTGGAAGTTCAAGCTGTTTAGAAAGAAAATAGAGGGAGAAAATAACTGATGGACTTTTAAAAAGTTTGTAAGACGGGCATTTCAGTTCATCTCTAACGGTAGAGATGTGGACTGGTGGAAGAATCTTATCCCAGAGTTGAGAATACAGCAGTCTCAACTTAAAACCATAACTGAGCCCAAAATTTCTATTGCTAAGCAAGACCGTTGTTAAGTGGGTTTGGTCCCATTTTATGATCTTTCTTGGCGTAGTTGTTAAATGAATCACTGCAGTTGTTAGTAAGTTAGTAAAACGGTTGTTAAGTGAATTTGTCTTCCTCATTGACTTTGCTTGTCAGAAACTCACAAAAGCTTCATATGACCCTGAACATTGCAACCATCACACATACATGCCAGTAGTCAAGAATGTAAATTTTGACCATGTGACCACAAGGATCCTGCAACGGTCCTAAATGTGAAAAACGGTCACAAGTCACTTTTTTCAATGATGTTGTAACTTTGAATATCACTAGACAAATGATTGTCAGTTGAGGCTACCTGTATTATCAATTTCTTGGCAACCATATTTCGAAGAAAACTTACACTTAAGCAGCATATTGTGTTCTCAAAGATAACTGGGGGCTGCTGGCTTGTTGCCAAATGCTCTCTGCAAATTCTCTAGGCAAAATGTGCATAGCAAACTGTTTATGTGATTTCATACTAGTAATAACATATTTAACAGGTTGAAATAGGGAAGATGAATAGTAGAGGACCTGCTTGGTTTTTTGGAACACCACAGATCTTCTCTACTTTCATGTGGAGGTAAACTTCAAGCTCCCATAATTCCTATTAAATTGGTTGGGCAATTATGAAATTCTCTCTGTCTAGAGCAGGGGTCCCCAACTCCCGGTCCATGGACCAGTACCGGGCCGCAGCATGCCAGCAACTGGTCTGCACAAACAAACAAAGCCCTATCCATGGGATGCAGGCAGCACATAAAACCATGCCCCCTCCGGTCTACCGAAAAAGCTCTCTCCATGTAACTGGTCCCTGGTGCCCAAAATGTTGGGGACCTCTGGTCTAGAGAATGCTGGTTGGGAAGGCTACCGTAAAGTTGCAGCAGATAGTATGAAGGCTCTCTACCAGATTTTTTTCTGGGGCTGGCACCATTTGAAGAAAAAAAAAAAACCCTTTCAGCCAAGTGGACAAAATAATCTGACTTTGTAGAACGTATGGTCTCCCATTACATCATTTAACTCGTATTCCCCCAAACACATTTATTTTGGCAGAATGAAAGCAAAACTCTCCAGTAATAATTCAAAAATAAAATGTTGTCAACAGTAAGAAATCTGGGAGACACCACCCTGGAACTGCCCTGAAGTTGTTGAATAGCTCCACATAAGGATTTAACTAAAGACAAACATCTTCAGATGGAAAACAAAAACTGGTTTTAATCAAGATTCGAGCATATGCAGATCATGAAACCAAAATACGGATTGGGGGTGGGAGAAATCTTATATCCCAAAGTCTGAGGATTTCAGACGAAAAGTCAGCTTCCATCCTCCCAATCTATTTTTATCCTCCAAATATTCAAGTTGCTGTACAGCTTGTTTGCTGCCAATGACTCAAATTTACTGTCAGCATCTTGACAAGAGAGATTCGAATGGAACAACGTTCCTCATAAATGAGTGCTATGACTCACTGATTTCTCCCACTGATGATGCAGAGTCTCTCCGTCTGCCCTTCCAAAAATACACAAGGAGACAAGGGATTACAGCTTGAAGGAAGCAATCTGCAGAAACGCACGGGGAGGGGGAAAAACACACCCAAATCAAGGGAGATGCATTTTGCAGCCTTGCCAATATTCGGGTCAACAACTAGACTGATTGTACAGCTTTAAGAGGCTTTTGGACTACTAAAACCACCATCTGAAAGCTATTCAGTAAACAACTCTTGACATCAGGAAGGGTTTCAAGAGCAATGGTTGGATGGTTATTATTGTGGAATCCAACTAGGGTAATGAAATGTCTGCAAGAAAACAATCAAGCTCAGAGAGCACCAAAGACTCCATAGTTCAACCCTGAGCTACAAATATTCACCTCTAGTAGTTACTATTGTTACACCAATATTCAGAACATATATAAAACTAGCAGTATGGATGAACTGGTTATTTGGATTCCATCTTTCAACCTGGAAAATAATTCAGGATCAGTTCTTCTCCAGTATAATCTAAATATCATCCATTTTGGGCAAATAAATGAAAAAAAATCAGAATAATAGATAGTAAAAGATATAATTGAGATCATCTTAATAATAATAACATCCTAATAATAATAATAAAGTTGGAAGGGACCTTGGAAGTCATTTAGTCCAACCCCCTGCTCAGGCAGGAAACCCTATACCCTTTCAGACAAATGGCTGTCCAGTCTCTTCTTAAAAACTTCCAGTGTTGGAGCATTCACCGCTTCTGGAGGCAGATTGTTCCACTGGTTAATTGTTCTAACTGTCAGTTATTGTTCTAACTTAGTTCTAGGTTGCTTCTCTCCTTGGTTAGTTTCCATCCATTGCTTCTTGTCCTGCCTTCAGGCGCCTTGGAGAATAGCTTGACTCCCTCTTCTTTGTGGCAGCCCCTGAGATATTGGAACACTGCTATCATGTCCCCCCTCATCCTTCTCTCCATTAAACTAGACATACCCAATTCCAGCAACCGTTCCTTATATGTTTTAGCCTCCAGTCCCCTAATCATCTTTGTTGCTCTTCTCTGTACTCTTTCTAGAGTCTCAACATCTTTTTTATATCGTAGTAACCAAAACTGGATGCAGTATTCCAAGTGTGGCCTTACTAAGGCATTGTAAAGTGGTATTAATACTTTACGTGATCTTGATTCTATCCCTTTGT